TTGCGGACGTCAAGGTTGACAGCTTCCTCCCGGGATGTGGGATAAGAAAGTCTCCGTTCCCCCCTCCCTCTCTGACCATCCTTCCCCTCATTCTTTCTCCATGGAGGTCTTCGTGACCCTTCTGCCCACCTTCTTCCTGGCCCTGGCCTGCAGAGACAATGCCACTGTTCACCCGTCTCAGGCCACTGCAAAGGGAGAGGTCATCTAGCTTCCAAAAGACAGCCGGATGTTCCCTGATCCTCGTGCCCCTGCAGCTCTGTCCGCCCCAAACTTCTGCCCCTCTCTCCATCATGTCACAGTCCCTGGTTAAGAACCCCAGGCCCAGGGAACTTTGTATCCAGGCTCTGTGCAAAGAAGGGGACACCAGGCAAGGGTAACCAAATAAAACCACAGAACTTCGAGTTGTACTGTCCCCCGTGCTGTCCTCCTCGGAGTCCCAAGCCACAGACTCAAATGGGAATGACCAGGAAGCATTCATGAATCAAAGTTCGTTTCCCTTGGCAGATCCTACGCCTCCCAGACAGGAGTAAGCACAAGCGAGGCTGCACTTGGGGACCTCTCCTTCACTCTCGCAGATGTGGCAGAATCGGGTGCGAGAACACGAGCTGCCTCACAAATTCCTAGGCTCTCTGCCGAAGTTGTTCCGTAACTATCTTTTAGCTGAGGTGGTGCTGTGGCCAACTTCACTCGCTACGCTCGGACAGACGCTTCTGGGAAAGTTGAGACTCACCTACACAAGACCACTACACACGGCAGCTGGCTTAAGAAAGGGACTCCTTCACTGGGGTCTTTCTTGGACATACTTGGTTCTAATTGGTTTGGGCCCTGGGGACCATGGCTCCGAAGGACGCTGTAGACACTGGGCGTTCTCCTGCTCTAATAATGACAGCAGTCCCAATGGTGCACACTTTAAATACATGTTTGCAGCCGTTCACCACCCAGCAAAGGATCTCCCTAAGAACAGAACTTCAGAAAAGGAACAAAGAGAATGACCACTGTAAAGAATGAACCCGATCGCATGACCTGTGAATACCCTACAGAGATTCAGCCAAAACCTGTGATAACTCCCGAGCATTACATTTTGATCACATCTCTTGGTGAGGGCGAGAGTCTAATCAAAAGGAGGGAATTGTTAAAAACAAGAAACCAGGCCTAAAATAGAGTCACTGATGCTAAGACCCATGTCACCAAGCTGAGACCTCAACTTAGTGTATCAGTTCTCCCAGAAATGAAGTCTTAAACTAGTCAATCAGGCATCACCTGATCAGCCCAAGTGAGGTCATGTGTCTGATAGACCCCCTGCCATTTCCTAAAGTGGCCTTGCAATAACCAACCGACTTTCTGCCTAGTGTAAATCCGTGCTCCTGCTCCCTTCTGCTTACAGAAGGCTCATCTTGTACAGCTCCTTTCATTTAGCAGGGGAAATGCTGCCCGATTCACGAGTTGTTGAATAAAGCCAATAAAGTCTTTCCGATTTCCTCAGTTGAAGTTTGTTTTTTGAGCACCATCCTCCTTTTAAAGGCTAAGCCCCTGTTTTCCTAATCTCCCATCTGCCAACGTGGGAGAATTCCAATAAAAACTCTTCCATGTCTCCTCCTAATTTGTTCAGGACCTTGTCCTACCCTGCTTTTGAGGGCGAAGTCTGGCTCGCTCTCTACAACAAAATGAGGCTCTTTGCTCTTTACCAAACACCCTTACCTGTTGCTGCATCTGTGTTTTTGCCCATGGAGTGGCCCCTCTCCACGTCCCTAACCGCCCCCGCCCCGGACTCCCAGCCCCACCCCCAAGCCGTGGAAGCCAGATTCAAGAGGTATCTCCATGAAGCCAAAGTCCTCCCACTCTCCTTGGAATGCTCTGAAGTCTCCGAGGAGTTAACACCTAAGTCCTGCTGTTCCTTCCTCTCGTCTGGCTCCTGTTAGATTTTTCAAGCTGTGGATTTGACCGTGAACTCTTGGAACTCTGGTCTCAAGCATGGTTCCTGGAACAGAGGTTTCTATTTTTTGGTTGAATAAGCTTACAACTTTTTATCTGCTTCTGAATGGTATCCTTATCTTTTTTAGTTGACCCTTGAAATACTATTTAAATCTCAACGTTTTGTCTGCCAGATAGATTCTGGTCCCCTGGAAGCAGAACCAGACCAGGTGTTACTGGTTTTCTGCCCACTAGAGCAGTGCTTCGCAAATATGAACGTGCATTTGATTCACCCAGGGACCTCATTAAAATGCAGATTCCAATTCAGTAGGCCCAGGAGTCTAGTTTTCCAGCAAGCTCCCAAGTAATAACGATGGACCACATTTTGGAAAGCAGGGCACCTGTCCCTCAGGAATGCTGGATGAAATCATGGGTGCTCTTCAGGAGACTAGGTCAACTCGGTCTGCTTTAGGTGCTTTGAAATGTCAACCTGCAGGATGTTCTTCTCTCCATGGATTAAACCATGGTCACTAAACCAGTATGTACACAGAGTCTGGAAAGGGCTAAGACATACTCTGAGGTCTTTTCTGGGAAGTAGCATGGGGAATATCTAACATCCGATACACAAACATACATATAAGCAGAGCTCCACATGTTTCCAGAAATAAGACATAAAAATAACAGCTTCCACACCATTCAGAAGTTGCCTTCTGGAAATGACGATATGGGCAGGGGGACACATGCAGCACATCTGAGACCACAAACTCAAGAGCAGTGAAAGGGGGGAGGGCTAGGAAAACCAAACATTCCCTTACGGTACCTCTATTCATCAGTGCTTTGGTGAGTTGGAGACTCAGACCCATCCATAATGGGTGAGTTTTCTGTTGCTTCTCTGAACAAAGGAAAGCAGAAGAAGGAAGAGAAGAGAGGTCATGTTAAAGAGAGGAACTGACACAGACATGATTAGTAGCTTATTAATACATTGGAGAGATCATCTGACTCCACGTCCCAGCGTTAGTGACAGATAATCCCAGCATGCAGAACTTTCAGCCCCCAGGAGTGTGAGTCAAAGACCTCTTCAGTTCTGTGAGGAAGGCAGCTTTGGTACTTTTAACCCATTTCTCATCTGGTCACGGAGAATAGTTACTGGTCGTTAATGATCATTCACCTCAACCTGATAAAGGTTTACGTCAAGGACCAAAGTTGTTCCCAATTTGTCCTGAATCCTCACCAGCTCTCTGTGTTGAGACCCAGGTTTCAAGGCCAGCTCAAGCACGTAGGCATTTGAGGTTGTGCTCACCCATTTCAGGCCTGCCGTCGGTCATACATTCCGATCAGGGGAGACTGGCCATGACCCAGAAAATGTGGAGGACCCAGCCAGAGAGGCCGCAACCTGAAGTTCTTATTTGGATGGAAGGGTTGGGCCCCTGGGGGTGCCATCTAGACAGCAGACCTGACACTCTCGTGTGAGTTCATCTCGGTGCACGACTGGGGCCCGAGGCCTTGCAGTAGCTCCTGACCACACCAGATGGCGCTGGCGTGGAGCTGGTATGCGCCAGAGGGTCCCAACGACCTGGGGTAAGGACAGAGAGGGGGCAGCTGCCGCCCCAAAGGCCGACCGGGAAGTGGGAGCGGGACGCAAGATCCCCTCACTTGGGGCTGTGGGTTCTCCTGATGCAAATGGACGCGGCAGCAGGGGGCACAGCTCAGGGCCGCTCCAACTTGAGCAGGTGTCAGAATCCTGTTCAAACCCAACTGCCTGGCCCCACCCCTGAGCTTCTAATTTGGGAGGTCAGTAGGTCATGGATGGTCCCGGACTCGGCATTTCTTGCAAGATCCCAGGCCACAGGTGCTCAGGCTGCTGGTCTGGGGACAGCGCTGTAAGAACCACCGGCCTGGTGGGGAAAGACAAGACACCCGAGGCCAGAGACCACAGCTTCATTCCGCCGCGTGACCCTGGACAGAGCACGGATTTTCTCCGGGCCTCATGCGTCAAACCAAAAGATCTGTGTGTTGCCCCTGCGAGGCCGCAGTGAGGGCTATACGGACTTCTCCGTGTCAGGAATGCTCCCAGCCTCTGAGCACACAGCAAGCACTCAGTGAACAACAGCTTCCCTTCCGTCAAATCCTGAGGCCCCATGAAACCTGCCTTAAAATCACCACAGAAAAATGAACCGAAAGAAGAACACGGCTGCCAAGCGTGGGAGCCGGAAATGCAGTGGAGCCCGTCCGGGTCCTGCTGTTTCCCGATGACTCCACTCACACACAGCTGTCACACAAGGGGTCCCTGGCTCCTTTACCCACCCCCGTCACGGACAGAACGGGACATCCGGTTGGAGGCGACGTCCGAGGAGCAACAGAAGAGGCAGGAATTGTGAGGACAGCAGCTTACGTGTATCTGCTGGGCTTCGGGAGCCACGGCACCCAACTGTCCCCACCATCAGAGCGCTCGACGCCAACACTGAAAGCTGGGACAGGGCCCGAGTGCCGGTTTCATGACTTTTCCTGTGGGCCACGTCTTACGGTTTTCAGGGTCCCCGTCCCCGGTCCCCTGTGTTGGTTACCAACAAGCAGCCGGCCAGGACCGAGACGGGCCCGGAGCCTCCTGCCCTTTTCCCTCACAAGCATCCTGGTTCCAGGAGGGGACACCCTGAGGAGCGTGTGAGGCCGGCGCCCAGCGCGTGGTGCTCAGATCCTCTCTCCTCTCTCTCCCTCTCACCTGGCCCAGCAAGTGGCCTGAGAGAAGCTGAACCCCAATCAAATGCCGCCTGGGACTGTGAGCAAAGAAGTGCAGTCTGCCTTCGGGCCCCTACCTTCCCCACGTTCCTGGGACCAGCGTCGAGAGAGCGAGCCGAGAGCCCTGGCCCGTCAAAAGGGACAGCCATGGAAAAGAGCCAGGTCAGAGGGAACGGTGTTCGTGAGGCTTCTTCGGGAAGGAAGAGGTTTCCCAGGAACACACCCGCATCCTGTGTTTGCTGATAAACCCCTCCGTCACTAGCATCTTACACCTGTTACTACGTCCTTCCTGACTGACAAGGCAGGCTGAGGATCACTCCAGAGCCTGGAAGAGGTCTGAAAGGGGGACTCACCCAGTCTGCCAGGTTAGGATGTGGTGGGGACTGCTTGGGGGCGTCGCTCCAATTTCACTTGATGGTGTTGAGCTTCTCTGGCTTTGAGGTAAGGCAGCTGCAGAGAGGGGACGCAGAAGAGACCGGGGTCAGACACGGGTCAGGTGAAGGAGCCTCCTTCCAGAGATGCCGGAGAGGACCCCGCAGCGGGCTCACGGTGGGGGGATAGCTACCCCTCGCCCCACGTTCAGCCAATTCCATTTTCTCCCCCAAAGCACGCGCTCCATTCTGAGTCGAGCTGACCCGGGGATCCCAGATCCCGGCTGTGCACTGGCAAGTGGCCACAGGGATGGCGACGGCCCCCACTGTGGCAGAATCCGAAGCCCCACAGAGCTCGGAGGGAGACCTGGGCGGGCTAGTCAGGGAGAGCCCCTGCCTCTAGACACCAGGGAGAGAGAGGCCTCCGGGCATCTTCACATGTGGCCCCAGTGTTAAAACGGTGCAGTGAACAGAGAACTTCCAGAAAGGTGCTTAGCACTTGCTCCTTGTTTCAGGCTTGTGACTGACCACTTAAGGACACTGCCAAGGGCGCAGGGCTTTTATAGGAAAGCTCATCCAAATCTGGCTATGAGGACTTTATCGATGTGGGCAGGATTTTTCTAGCTGGGAAAATTCACTAACAAGTACATCCTCCATGAACGCATCTCCTCTGCCTTCCTGGGAATGGAATCTTTCTCATCCGTAAACCTCAGATACAGCTGCTTAGAACTCGTCATCGAAAATATGCTTGCCTAGAGTTACCGAATTGGTCAGGGAAGCGAATCTACTAGGCAAGAGCTACAGTTTTGACAGAACAGAAACACTCGTGTTCCCGTCAGCCGGCTGCTAACACGGTCAAACAGGCTCGTGTTAATTTTTTTTTAAAGATTTTATTTATTTAGACAGAGACACAGCGAGAGAGGGAACACAAGCAGGGGGAGCGGGAGAGGGAGAAGCAGGCTTCCCCGCGGAGCAGGGAGCCCAACGCGGGGCTCGATCCCAGGACCCCGGGATCACGACCCGAGCCGAGGGCAGACGCTTAACGCCTGAGCCCCCCAGGCGCCCCAAGGCTCGTGTTCTTTAAACGGTAATATATGTAATGCATCCATTCGTTCCTTCTCAAAATCTGCCTGGGGAGTCCAGGGCACATTTCCCTGAGCTTACGTAACAGATGAAGGAGGAACATGGAGAAGGTCTGAGGACCTCAAGTCCATGGTTGTCTCGTGACCGCCTGAGTCACTTCTAGTCTTGTCTTTCGCCAGTGGGGACAGAAGGCGGGAGCAGGAGGTCTGGCGCACCCAGGCTGCCGGCCTGTTCCTCCTCTGTCCCATTTTCGCTCCAGCTCCCAAGAATCCCCTCTGGTTCCCCAAAGGTGAGCCCCCTTTTCTGTCCTCCCCCTGACCTTTACCCTCACCTAACTCTCTCCTGTCACAAGTCGGATCCTGACTCAGGGTTCCTTCTGTTTGCTACTCACTCTTACTTTATTCTTCCCTTTTTAGAAATCGTTTTATCATGTCTCAACACCCTCCCCTCTCTTTCCCTACGGTCAGTCTGAGCGGAGCCTCCTGGCCGAGCCGCCCCCCTCTGTGCGTGCTGAGAGCCCTGCCCGGCACCGCTGAGCACTGATGGCCACTGTCACCACTGTTCTTTCCCAGGGAGGGACGGGGAAGGGAGAGTAGCTTCTGAAGCCAAGGGTGGTGCGCCCCGTCTGGCCCCGCTCAGTGCTCTTAGTACAAGAATAAAAAGTAACCCCTCCATAATGAAATTATCAAGCATGAAAGCCCTTTACCAAAATTCCTCTGGTCACCTTCCTAACATCACGGAGAGGACGACTCCGGAGCAGTAGGACTTAGCTCTAAGAGCTGATCTCCGAGCGCTACTCCACCCCGCCGCTGCCCTGAGCCCCACCCAGGGGACACCGCCGAAAACCGGGGCCCCGGCGCCCAAGCCCGGAGCCAGCGTCCCTCCGCACAGGGGCCACTTGGGTCTGTAACTAGCGTCTCTGGACAAAGGCTGAGAGCCGTCCGCACGGAGCGTCTCTGACTGTCCCTACAAGAAGTGGCTGGACGGAGGGTTTGCGCCCCGACCTCCTCCGAAGCTGAAGTGGGGGCCAGTTAGCCCAGCGCTGCCCCACCCCATCCGAGGACTTCGCCCCGGGGTGAAACCCGGGCTGCAACCGAGGGCCTGAAGGAGGGGGACTGCCCGAAGGCCTCCAGTCTCAGCTGTCTGACGCCAAGGTTTCTAGAACTGCCCATACTCTGAGCAAACCTGGAAGCCCCGGAAACGGAGCCGCCCGTTCCCACCCCGGCGACGCCCGCCCCGCCCGCACCCCGGGCCCGGTCACTCCCCGCCGCTCACCTGACGTGGCCTTGCACATCTGGGGCATCCTGGTGACCCTGCTGTGCGCCACGAAGGTGCTCTGGGAGGAGGTGCTGTACTGGGAGCCGCTGTCCGAGGAGGTGGAGCTGGTGTGCGACAGGCGGCTGTGCTCCTTGTGCGAGGCCGTGGAGCGCTGGTACCACTGGCGCAGCTCGTCCGAGACGGCGGCGCGGCCCGCGCCCTTGTCGTGGGCGCCCTCGCGGCCCAGCGACGGAGTCCGCAGGATCTGCGAGCGCGACGGCGTCAGGCGGCCCGCGTCGCCCTCGTCGCCGCCGCGCCAGCTCTCCCTGAACAGGCCGCCCGCAGTGTACGAGTTGGAGGTCTTGAACTGCGCCTTGACGCTGTAGTGGCCCTCCTGGTCGCTCTCCAGGCTGCGCACCACCACGGGCGTGGCGCTGCCCTCGATGTACAGCGGGTACTCCTTGATGCGGTACTGCGAGCTCGGCTGGCTCTGGCTGTGCAGGTAGACGCCGTGCGCGCCGCCGCCGCCGCCGTGCGCGCCGCCGCCGCGCGCCGCCAGGTTGGGCATGCTGCCCGAGTTCGCCGCGCCCAGCGCGCCCGCCGCCCGCTGCCGCTGCCGCTGCCGCGCGCGCGCCTTCGACGGCGAGTCCTCGGCCAGCGTGGAGTAGTTGGCGTTCATCTGCGCCGGGTAGTAGTGCTCCGAGCTCGAGTGGCTGGTGCAGGAGGAGCAGTCGTCCATGGGGTCGGAGCCGTTGCTGCTACGAGTCCGTGGGGTGTAGAAGTCGGGGCTCCCCGTGTCGTTCTCCGAGCCCAGGAGCTTGCCCTGGGACTCCAAGCTGGAGCTCCGGTGCCTAAAGTGCAGGGCGAGGCTGTGTAGCCGCGTGGGGCTGAGGTCCACCGACCTGCGGGGGGGAGACAGCGGGTGGGTCGGGGGGGGGCCTGGAGGGAGGGGGACGGACCGGGGTGCGGGGGGGGGGCGGGGAGCGGGCTCTGCCATCCTCGGACCCGGGACAGGGCAAAATTGTCATTTGGTCGGAGCCACCAGCGAACGCGCGTCTAGGAGACCCGGGTAGAAGCAGGACTGCCCCGGGAGTCAGGGTGGTCCCTGCTGACGCCAGGTGAACACAGCGGCCGGAGGGGACCGCAGATGCCTGGAGGCCAGCTGGGCCTCGCCTGCGATGCCTGATTCCGAGTGGGCATGGGACAGGAGCGGGCACCCACTTTTCAGGGGAAGGGTGTCCCCTGAAAAAATATGCCAGTAGCCTGGCCTGTTTTTGTTTTTTTTTTTTTAATGGGGGAAAGGGCTTCTATAGATACAAAGATCCAAGAGAATCCCTATTCTAACATTATGTTAAATCAGATGAAATGCCCACTTTTTGTAGCTCAAAAAAAAAGTCCAGCAGAGGGCACTTCACAGGGTTCAACCAAATACTATTATGAAACACACAACATTGGATTTCCATTCCCCTGAAACTCTAAAATGGAAGGCTGCTGGACCACAGAGCACTTAAAAATGACCCGTGCAAATACTTACCATATGACTACCTTGTCTACAACCCCGTCTTTTTTTTTGAATGCACACTATAAACATCCATCTCTGTTGCTGGTGCGGACAATGCTAGGACAGGTGTGGCATCCAGGGTGGTCCCACTGGCCAATACAGGAAGAGGTGAGTTCCCGTTCTGACGGTCACTCAGGGTAGAATGTGAAGTCCCCAGTGAGGGGCCCTCCAAGACTCGGTCCTCAGTTCCTTCTCTGGTCCCACCCTCTCCATCACCGGCTCTGGTCATACTGGCCTCTTGGGAACATGCCAAGTGTGGGCCTGCCTCTGGGGCTTGGACCCTACCGTTCCCCGAGACAGCCTCAGAACTTGCTACCCCGTCCACTCAGGTCTCTGCTCAGATGTCACCTTATTCAAGAGAACTTCCCTGTCCCTGATGCTCTTACTTCACACAGAGTCTTTCTTTCCACTGTGTAGGCTCCTGTCCTGTTCCTTTTTCTTCTTTGTGCTTATCACCACTTGACATATTTCTTTCTTGTGACTCCCCACTGCTAAAATGTCACCCCACTGACAGCTGGAGCGTGGTCTGTTTTGTTCGCTGCTCTATCCCCTATGGGGGTCCCTGGTACGTAAAGGCACTTGATAAATATTTGTTGCATGAAAGAATGAAGGAGACAGTCTGGCCTGGAGAGCTCAATCTTACCCTATGTAAATCCCTCCTTTGAGCCACAGTCCTGGGCAATCAGTTTTTGATAAAATGGAATGATGGCTTTGGCTTTGCCTCATTTCAGAAAAAGAAGGTGTGATTCACAGCTTCGCTTTTGCCTGTTCTTTTTGCTTTTCAATGAATTTATACCTTGAGGCATTAAGAAGTCCAGGATAAACGAGGCATCAGTCAGAAGCTATGTGAAGCCTACAGAATAGAGGTCACCCGCATCCGTGCAACGCTGTTGTGTGTGCAGCATGCTTCCCTGCTAATCTGGCTAGCCCGTCCTGCCTCCATGTGGATTAGCAAAGCTCCCTCCATGGGGCGCCCAGCTGGCTCAGTCAGCAGGGCACGTGGCTCTTCCTTTCAGGGTTGTGAGTTCGAGCCCCACGTCTGGTGTAGAGATTGCTTAAACAAACAAACTTTAAACAAATCTAAAAAAAAAAAGGAAAGCTCCCTCATGCCCACTGCTTCCAGAAGCCCGGGGATTCTCCAGGCGACTCCTGGCGCCCACTGGACGTAGCCACTGGGATAAGAACAGGTCTCATTGCTAACGTGGGCTGCCCGCTGCCCGCTGGGGTTTTCATCCTGCTTTGCTTTAACAGGAACCTACCCCGCTGGTTCAGGCCTGACCCAAGCTCACCAATTCTCTGGGCCAGTTTGGGGCCAGCCATGCCAAGGCTCACAAAGGGAGGTCCACTCTAGGGAGGGAAGTGGCCCAAAGGCCTGGTACACTCACCTTGTGGAATGAACGTAGTGGGGACTCCGGACCCGGAGGTCTGGGGTGGACGGCATGCTGGACTGTGAGTTCCAGTGGGGCAGGCTGCGGATGGGGCTGTTCTGCAGGGAGCTGCTGCCCCCTCCGGCTTCGGCACAGCTCCCCGTACTGGGAAAGCGCTTGTGGGTGCTGCAAACCAGAGGACACCAGGCTGGTCACCGCCAGACGCAACTGTCCCTCTTCCCAGGCGGCCACCCAGCCGCGGACATCAGCCCTGGTGTCGGGAAAGCTTGCCCAGGACCGCCCCACCTCTCCCGCGGATTCCTACTGTGGTACTCAGCCGTCCCCCCCCAGAAGTGGGTGGGGGTCCCCACTCCCAATCCCCACGGCAGGGTGAGACAAACACCCTCATCAGCCTTGTTCTGCGTAGTCCCTGCCCTCAACCACAGTTTCTGGTTTCCAACCGACAAATATTGACCTGTCTGGACAGCCACTGGGAGCTCTAAAGAGCGTAATTAAAAGCAACGAGAAAAAGAGAAACGGACCAAAAATGCCTTCCAAACATCCCTCTCTGCAATCTCAGCCCAGTAATGAGCTGATAAGGCACAGCTAGCAGGACAGCTGTCTGGCTCCAGAATCTTGGCGGATGACGCTGCAGGGTTCTGAGCCACTCTGGGATTCCTACGAGTGGCCTCTCACTTGCGGTGCAGAGGAGTGCCGCCCCCGACTTGCTCGTTGATTCCCGTGTCATTGCACAACATCCTAGCCCTGTGCCGACACGCCCACTGTGAGCCCCAACCCCCTCTCCTTGTGCACGACCGAGCTGCACCTCGATAGGGTCAGCAGCAGAGGGCGCTGTGAGCGCAGCACGGCGGACCGGCCACCCCGGGAGGAAGGGCATCCGCCCGATGCGATTCTGCAACTTGTGGATGCTCTTTGGGGCAGCCTTTGTTTTTTGGTTTTGGTGTCTTTTCTGTGGCCTCCCTGACCCGCCTCACCTGGAATGGCCGTGGGAGGAGCGTTTCTTGACCTTCTCGTAAGGCTCATCCAAAGAGGACTCGCTCCACATTTTGGGCTTTATAGGGGACTTGTCATAGTCGTTGCGGTGATAGTGCATCTGCCGGAGTCCCTCCAGGGACTGGGGAGGGGGGGGCCTGTTGTGTGACGGTGGCCGAGGAGGGAGTCCCTTGTGAGGAGACTGTAAGGGGGACAGTGTGCTGGTGACCTGAGAGTCTTCTGCGCAGAGATGGAGAGAGACGAACTGAGCAAGGGCCCCTCCCACCGGCCCAGACAGCCCCGCCCCGCCCCACCCACACCCACCCCTGCCAGGCTCAGTGAGAGCGCCCCGCGGCTTCCCCACTTGCCCAGACAGGTCAAACCAGAACAAACCAAACCGACACTTCAAGCAGCACGCAGTGGGGAGAGGAGTTTCCCTCTGGATTAGCTACAGACCGAGGGAAGCCCGAATTCCATTAAAGACCCACAGCACATGATGGCTTCATACCAAACAGCAGAATGGAGTCCTGATTATACTGTCAAGTTGTCTTTCCGTGGACCCTAAGCGTCTAATTTGCTCTGGAGCAGTTTTAGCTCTGTGAGGGTTCTGTTTTGTTCGCTTCTGCCACCTCAGTGCCCAGAATGATGGCATACAGCAGGTGCTCAATAAATACTTGTTAGAAGAAATGAAAGAAAGTATGCATGTTGAGTGTCGTTATCTGTTGGTGGCTCTGGGTGTCCGACCACCCTCTCTGCTTTCCTCAGATCTCTATTGTCTTTTAATATGTTCCTGGAGGTTTTCCTCTTGGACCTACCTGCCTTTGGTTCCTCAGGAAGGAGATAGGCCACAGATATTAACTCAACGGAAGATTATTCCTTGCCTTCAAGGGAGTCACGATCTATCCCACCCGATGTGCTGAGGGGAATTCAGCAGTGGACGGGCAGAGAAGAGGAAGGGCCCAGGGCCACGTCCAGCCGGGGCGGCGGCTGGGGAGGGGGAGGGAGAGAGGGGGGAGCTCCTGGCGGGGGCTAGTGCAGCTGACCTGCTGTGCCCCCAGAGGTGAGCTCACGGGGGGCCTTCGATTCCAGCTGAGGAATGGGGATTTGGTCTGAAAGCCATTAGAAGACTTAGCAACTTTGTAAGCATGGATGTGTCAGGATGAAAATCCTGTTTGAGAGCCAGTCAGCTGTCCGGGTTCAAAACGGGCAAGGCCGGGAGAGGGCCAAGGCAGGGGCTAAGGGAGAGGGAGATACCCAGTGTGTCCACCCCTCAAATCAGTGAAGGCAAGAGCCCCTAGAAGGGGCCAGCCTGCAGTGGGAGTGGGGGTCCGGGTGAGGCAGTAATGCCCCTCAGGACACCAGGGGCTCCGGAGACTAACCGCCAATGAGGCGACCACGTTAGCTAACAACAGCAGGCTCCTTCCTCCCCAACTTTTCTCTCACAACGGAATCTCAGCAACCATCCGTGTCCCCCCCTCTGGAGAGACTGCAGCCCACAGAGGCCAGAACCAGGGCTGGGTCTCCCATGCTCAGAACACCTCTCCCTGCTCACCTGCAGCCTGGCCTCATCCCCACCCGTGTAAGGAAGCGGAAAATAAAAATATTACGACCTGACTGCTAAGAGCAGGGCCAAGACCTCCAGGTAAATAACCTGTTAGTCTCTCCCCACATCAATAGCACTATTATTAGCCTCGCAATGATCATCATGACTCTGCGCTGGGTGGACCGTTTTATATTTTCTGTCTGAATAGCCTCTTAGCACTGCCCACATGAGGTTTCCCTAAAGTGCAAAAAAAATTAACTGCCGCTTAATATATTTCCATATCATTAATGTCCCAGCCTTCCAAGTTTTGGCTTAAACCCACAGAACATTCTCAGAGATGGTCCCGTGCCTGGAATTCCTCCTTCGTGTGTGTGTGTGTGTGTGTGTGTGTGTGTGTGTGTGTGTGTGTGGTGGTGGTGGTGGGTGGTGGTGGTGGTGGTGGTGGTGGTGTGTGTGTGTGTGTGTGTGTGTGTTGGTGGTGGTGGTGGTGGTGGTGGGCTGGGGGGTAGGTATGAGGGATTGGTTCTAAGAACTTCCCAAGAAAATATCCTGATAACCTCTGGGTTTTCAGAGGTTAATGGAAAAAAGCAAGACAGTTTCAAGGCCTGACCAGCAATCTAAAGGGACATCTTCCCTTTCATCTTTACGATTTCTCAGGATGACGTGGAGGGCTGGTTTTCTTCTTGCCACCCCCCCCCAGGCTTTCCTAGTAGGCTTCCATCTTTGATTTGTGATCCAACCAAAGTCCACGTCTTTCCTCCAGAAATGATGAATAGTCAAAAGGCAACTGCACCCGGTGTTTAGATACAAATGTGGTTTTGGCAACTACAACACAGAACACCATTCACGGTCTATCACCTTAACCACTATCTCTGGGCCACAGGAGATACTCAAGTTCCAACAGATATGAGTTGACCTTGAACCCACCCACTCCCAACCACTAGGGTGAGTGCTGGGGACGAGGGACTCGCGGAGCTGACCCAGCTGCCACCTGGGCCCGGCTCCTGCCTTTCCACCAAGCTGTGCCCGATGACGCACCGCTTAATGCCCGTCTGATCTGGGCCCGAGGTCTGAAGCAGGAACGAACAACCTACCATCCTCTAGCACAAGGGCATCTGAGAGGGAACTGTCTTCACTGGCAATATTTCCATCTGAGAAGACAAAAAGCAAAAATCCATGAGTTTCGCCCATCCCCCAGACAAAGCCCAATCTGTAAAAATCCTGTGTTTAAGACCATAATGTCCTCCTCCTTCTGATCAGAAAGATCTCATGAAACACAATCAAAATGCTGGTTGGCATTTCTTTGGACAGTCCCTGGCGGCGGGGGGGGGTCCACTGGCACATCCCCCACACCTGACGCTTGCGCTGTGCCCCAGGGTCTCTGTCTGTGCTCTTGTTTCCGGGGACCCGGCAGTGCTGAGTAACTGAATATCCAGGATAAAGGCCGCCTGGCCTGGTGAAGCCGCATCATTGTCTGGGCCCAATCTCAGGGCATGTTCCAACTAAACCGAAGGGAGTGAACTGCTCTTTATTCTACACACTCGAAACCAGGGTGAGGAACTTGGCTTTCCTCTTATGGCCATAAATGTCTTCTCCATAAACTTCTCAAGTCATTAGTAGTGAAAACAAGCTGCTAAGTACAGCTTCTCTCTCCAAGGTTTATTTTTATGGACACTAGTTAACCATGAGGATGCGCCCAAGAGGGAGCCAAATGATCCTCCCTCTTTAACATCTGGGGAAACTGAGGCCCGCCTAGGGAGGAGTGGTCTCTAGGCAGTTGGTCTGCTCTCCTGGCAAAAGGAGCCAAAGGTCCCAGGTCTGCAGTTCCACGTTTGGTGTTTTAGCTCTTGAAATAAAACACCAGGCTAAGGAATGATGGAGAACTGGAATTATTCCTCTAATTCGGGCGCAGCAGAAACATTATGTCAAGGATGCAGCAAAATAAAGAAGGTATATTCTTGAACAGTTAAAAAAAAAAAAAAAAAGGCTGCAAACCTGGATGGGACCCTGTGTTGGGGGGACAGACACAGATTTGAACACAGACCCTAGCGGCAGGGCTCACAGAATAGCCCTTGCCGGGCAGGCGTGGGAAGCTGGCTCTTCCGTGGCCGGCCAGGGACAGGTGCCCCTCCCAAGCTCGGCTCTGGTGACCATGCTGGATGCTCCCGCAGAGCCGCAACTCCCCGAGGGCCTTCGAGGGCCACAAAGATGTCCTCAAAGAGGCATCACACAGACAAGGGCTCGCTGCAGCTCTGTTCAGAAGTGGGCGACAAAAGGACAAAGTCTTGGCCAAGGACGATGGGGTGGGGCAGGATGGGGAAAAATGGTTATTCCAAATTTCCCAGAGGGGAAGGGTTTGTTTATGGCCTCTCTCTTGTTTCCCTCAACTAGGGAGTCACTTTAATTGTATTGCTTGGTGGACTGTGGGCAACTATGGGGCAGAGAACCTTGACTTTGGCGTCTTGGGAGTTTCCAGGGTAGGGTGGCTTCCCTAGTAAGCCCACATTCTAAGGTTGCACAATTATATTTTGTATGTTATATATCACTTATACATATATAATATATATATAATTGTGGTAAAATATACACAACATGAAATCTACCGTTTTAACCACCGTGAGCTGTGTCCTTCAGCTGCATTAAGTCTATTCGCATTGTTTGTGCAACCATCATCCGTCTCCAGAACGTTTTCATTTTCCCAGACAAAAACCTGTACCCATCAAATACTAACTCCCCATTCCGCCTTCCCTGGCCCCTGGGAATCTCTATTCCACTTTTGGTCTTCCTAGAGCAAAAGTGTTTTAAACGCGTAAACCATGAAAGAATACTTGACATATATTCTAAAGAGTTTGCTAAACATAGAAAAAAAGGATTGTAACCGTTGGAGGACTTGATGGTGTTGGTGGATCTGGGGGTATTTCCTTCTAGTGTTTACCAAATAGAATCACCCAGATTCCTAACCCCCGCTGACCTGAGCTCAGGGGTCTGGCCAGCAGAGTGGGGTGGCCCCGTCCTCCCCAGCTTCAGCTCTGGGACAGGAACCCTTGGAGCTGGTCTGTCTGAAGACAGACGCTCTGCGGGGGTGGCTGGCTTGCCGTGTACCCCGGCCACCCAGAGGTAGGGTGATCAGGTCCCTGAGGAGGTCAGAGGTCAGAGCCTGGGCAACTCCAGCAAGGCTGACCTGGCACGGTGAGCTCAGCCCAGCTCCTGGTGAGGGCAGGGAAGAGCCTGTAGCTCAGGGCTGCAGGTCTCCCAAAGGGGCACTAAGTAGCGATCAGGACAGTTTGACTTGTATAATCTCCCTCCTCTGTGGACCTGAGCACCCTTTATTGCTCTCATTTGGTATCAGGCCTTATTAGCTTTGCTTTACAGATTAAAAAAAAAAAAAAGAAAGAAGGCCCAGGGTAGTTAAAGGGCTTGCTCAGGTCCCACAGGGAGCCAGCTTTGCACCCGCTCCCCTGGGTGGGCCTGGGTCGCAAGGCCCCACGGGGGAGCGGGCTTAGCACTCACCAGCAATGATCAGGGAAGCCCTCTGCGTGGGTTTCTTCCCGGACTTAATGCGGTTCTCGTTGATGGCGTTTTCAATCTCCTGCAGCTTCTTCAGTGCATTCAGATAAGAGGTTTTCCTTTGTTTCTTCAGTTTTTTGCTGACATTGGGGTCACTGGCGAGGCGGCGGGCAGCCTCCGTAATCTGGGATTGAATGGCGAACTCTCGTTCCAGGCGTTCCAGCTCGGCTTCCTGTGGGAGGGAGAGATGGGGCTTGCTGACACTTCGGGGACACTAAGCCAGGGGCTAAGGGAGGCACTGTCCTCCCCGCCCCCGCCCCCAGGCCAGCACGCCCTACTCTTTGGGAGACTCTCCTACTAGGAAACCAGCACTCCCAGTACCTAGCCCCAACCCTGCCTGGCCCCACAATGGCCCCTTTCCTGAAATCTCTGCCCGCCAGGCCCTGGGCACTCCCACTTTTGAGACCCTTGGCCCGTTAGGGTCAGGAGACGAGTGTGGGTCGCTACCCGGGCAGCATCTCCGAGAAGCAGAGCTTCCCAGCTGCAGGCCAGAGGCAGAGGGTCACTTGGCTTCATCTCCCTGGTCTCAAGGCTCGCGAAGACCAGACCCTCGCGGAAATCAGCGCCTGTTTGGTTGGCGACTCCTTGCCATCTTGGGCTGAGGATGCACCATTACTTCCAGAGCGGGCTTCTATGAGTTTGCAGCAGGGAGCTCACATGGGCCCTCTGTCTCTCGTATTTTGAGCCCTTCATGATGGGATGTACCCCGCCCCCAGGACCTCTTTCAGAAGCCCTTTCTATAAGCTCCTGCTGGGCAGCGAGGCACAGCCGGGAGGGCGGAGGAGCCCGGCCCCACTCCTGGGACTGCTTTAGGGCATTCTCCGTCCTCCCCTTGGGCACCTCCCTGCGGCCTCCACCCCTGCCTTTGGCCAGAAGGAGCAGAGGGGTGGATGTGCCCTCAAACAGTTTTGGTCCCAGGAGAAATGTGGCTGTGGCCGTCGGGGCTGGGCGGGTGAACGGCGACGGCCTGCAGGCTGCCCACCTCTTCTACAATCTGACAGGAACGGACCAAACCAGGAAGGGACCCATCACCGTGTTTGGGGGAACGGGCCGATCTGCCCGGTTACCGGCCGCATAAAAAAGACTTGCCTCTGGGCAGCACGTACCAGGCTGGGAGCCTCCTTCGAGCCCAGCACCTTAGCCGGATTCATTTGTTTGAGCACCTTAAGCCAGAGGGGGGCAAGGACCAGAAGGAGAGCGGAGTGTGGGGATTACACAGAACTGCTCCGGAGATGACAAACTCCTTCCGGATCCTTCGAACGGTGGTTGCGCTCGCTCTCCGGAGGGAGAGGAACATGGGGATGGATTCCCACCCGGGGTCTTGCAACCAACGAGGCACCCAGGACGAAGGCTGGTCTGTGAGGCTTCAGTGCTAGAAGCAGCCATTCTCGGGCAGTGAGAGGGGCCCTGGCCCGGCACCTGACCCGGCGCGGGAGCCCAGGACCAGTTCAAGCTCCCGGCACGGACACGCACAAGGCCGCCGGCCCTGGCTGTCCAGATGGCTGCCTGCGGTGTGGACCGGGAGGCCAAGTGCATTCCCAGGGGAAACAGAGGCAGCGATGGAGCTGGGGGTGGGGAGCCCTTCCTTCCTACAGGGGCTCGGCACACGCTCGTGCCAACTCGGGGGTGCTTCCTGTCACCAACTCTGGGCCAGTACATGCAGGGACAGGTAAGGGAGACAGGGGTGCACACGGACTTCTCGGGGATGGCGAGGCCTCGCTTACTGGAGAGTGGGAAGAAGCCGCTGGTGGGAAGGCACTCGGGGCTGTGGGCACTTGATAAGGTGGGGTCTGCTCTTCAAAGTTTAGTCCAGCTGTCTGTCCAGCAGAAGGGAGTGGAAGCTCCTCAGGCAATCCCGGTGACAGCCGGATTTGAAAAGTACTTGACCTGATGGTCTCCTAAATCCTAGCCCCGCTCACCCCTGCTTCTGCTGTCTCCTCTCTGCTCGCAGCAACCCATGCTCACCGAGCGCGAGGCAGGTGTCAGGGAGCAAGCTAAGTGCTTCCCCCACGCCAGCGCAGGTAATCCCAGCAACCGCTCCAAGATGTAAGGATTATGAAGTTCCTCTTCCGGAAGAGGAAAACCGCAGAGCGTGACGTGCGGCTGAAGCCTCTGGTGAGTCCGCCTGTCCCCCGGGGCCCTGCGAGGGCCCATCTCAGACTGGTCCCCAGCTGTAGGCTGCAGGGCACGTGCGTCCCCCACCCCAAATTCACCCTCCCACTCACCCACGGCGGCTGTGACACAAGAACATCAGCTCCTCTCAACCCCTTTTGTGAGACTGTACATTTCAACATGGCCACAGCATTCCCCACCCTTCCCCCTTGGCTTTGATTCCTGTTCTTGTAAGCCTTCTTACAAGAACAGCATTTTAATTAGTAACTTCATTCAGAATAAATCCAGGAAGACTTTTCCTGGACGTGACCTTGAGGTCTAAAGGTTTGCCTGGCCTCGAATCTCTCTTGATCTGAGGCTGGAGAGCTTGTTAACCAGATGGAGACCTAAGTCCCCGCACCTCCCCAGATCTGGACTCTCCCGCCCCAGCCCCCAGCCACATTTAGTGTCAAAGAGGACAAATGAGCAATGCTTCAGTGGCTCCTCCAAATGCAGACAAATGACATCAGGACAGCCCAGCATCTTGCTCATCCTCTGGCGGCAACGTTAGCAGCAAGGTGAAGGGAAGGCCCCTGAGGGCAGGCCCTACGGTCTTTCCCCAGCCAATGGCATCCTTGTGCCCACTGGCATTACCTGAGTTTCCTTTCTCCTTTGGTTGTTTCCTCCCACAAGAGGCTGGGCTCTGAGGAACAAAGAGCTGGAGGGCCATTAATAAGACAGGTACACCTGAGTGTCTCTGGGATGGTCTCCCAAGCTTCACTTAGTCACTTGTGACAGGCCTATCATGTTAGACAAACAACTTGCGCAGAAATCAAAACGCCTACTCATGCAAGCTAACGAATCCTACCCAGGGGAGCCCCACACTGACTGAGCAGCCAACTTAAAAGGGAAAAGGGAAGATACTGGGGAGGAAAGGGGAAATGGCCTTTGGCATTAGGGTAGAATGAAGACCTTGTTACAGGAAACCCGGACGCCCCAACACTTGGGACAAATATGGCTAAGGTGAGAGAATCCAACAACATCACGAAGGACACACCTCTCCTTTGGGCAGGATTTTCTGTTCATCCAGCTTGAAGGCTGTCCCGATTCTTCTTCGAACAATGGGTGGTTCCTCCCCTGGATCCAAGGGATATTCAACCGGCAGCTTGCCTGTCAGCTCCTGCATATGTGCAACAGCACGAGAACAGAAATCAGAAGAGGGCACGTGCTCGGTTTCTAGGACGCATGCGTGCTCATGCACGTGCTTCAAAGCATAGATTCAGTGCATAGACCTGAAATTGTCACCTTTGGCGATACGTCTAAGGGCTCCTGAAATGCAATTTCATTTCTAAGATTTATTTGAGAGCGAGGGAGTGCATGCATGAGTTGGGGGAGGGGAGGAGAGGGAGAAGCAGGCTCCCGGCTGAGCAGGGAGCCCGACGTGGGACTCGATCCCAGGACCCTGGGATCACCACTTGAGCCAAAGGCAGACGCTTAACTGACTGAGCCACCCAGGTGCCCCTCATTTCTCTAAAAAAGTGTGAGAGCAGCCCTTTCTTTACAGAGCAGATGTGCTTCGAAAAGTTTCTCCCAAAGTAAATTTCTTTTGGGTAAATAAAATCACCATTGGCTTTCATCATAAAACCCGAATCTCACCCATTTGTTAATTTCCCAAGTGTTCCCCTGTGCCTGCTACGTGCCCGGTGGGACCCCACAGCCAGGAGGGGGCACAGCCAACACGACAGCTCTGGTCTTTCCAGTTTCTGTGCTCTTTCTACTTCATCAAATAGTCCCTCGCAAATATCTAAGTTCAAAATGTCCTTCAAGTGAGGGTTCTTAGGAGGAGTGGTATCTAAATAGCAAAGCGAGGAAAGGTGCATATTACATAAATTAGAAACTGAACATAAATAATAATTATTCCACTCAGGCTAGGTGCTCAAGGAGCAGGCTGAGCTTAAAAAACATTACATGTATACAAATAAGAGTTTCAGTAGAAACTGAAAAGATAATCCATTTTACTGACAAGGCCATTAAAAAAGATCTGTTGTGCATTGTCAGCTCTTAGAAATCTAATTGTGTGAACATGACGACAGTGAACTTCGTTGATGGATCACCACAGTGACTATGGCCCCGGCAGCCGCCGGTCTGTGGAGTGATTCCGGATTAGAACGAGGCTCCATATTAGGGGTCATGCCTGGAAATAAAGATCAAATTTGAGTCAGTGGCTAATCCACGTGGTGGAGCCAAGGCATCAAGTTCACGGAGTCACTTCCAGGGGTGGGAGGCATGTGGGAGAGCCACAGGCAAAGCCCAGCCCTGGGTTTCCAGGCCCCAGTCAATGCCTACAGGGCCACTCCGACACGCAAGAGCTCCCTGTCCGTCCGCACAAATAGCTTCTGTGCCAGGCAGCCCAGGGCGAGTGTGCAACGGGTGAAGAAGCCCCAAACACCGGACTCCAGGTGTTCACTCACCTTCTAATAGGAGGAGGGATCTGGCCTTTCCCCACTGCTGTGTCTGTGCACACTGGAGTGTTTGTGGGATGGGTCCATACACTGCGTGTGTGTGTGCACAAGTGTCCACCAGGCTGTGTATGTGTATGCATTGGTGTGTGTGTGTGCATGCATGCACTGGGTGTGAGATGGGTGTATGTGTGTGCGCTGGGGTGGGTCCACACACTGCGTGTGTGTGTGTGTGTGCACAAGTGTGCACCAGGCTGTGTATGTGTATGCATTGGTGTGTGTGTGCATGCATGCACTGGGTGTGAAGCTAGGCTGTATGTGTGGGTGCTGGTGCGCGCATGCACTGGGGTGTGCACATGTGCGTGTGCGTGTGTGAGAGAGCGCAACCGGCGTGCACAAACACCCCCACCGCTCACTCTCCTGAGCCTCTCTTGTTCTGTGTTCAGGCCACCAGGAAATGAACTCTTGGGCTTTTCACTCCCTAGTGTAAGCGTTTCAGAACATAACGGCCAACTATTGAGTATGAAATGCTCTGCAATTTTCTTCACTGTTTTTTTAAAAAATGTGGTTCAAATGTCTCCAGAGTAGTTATGTGTTTATTCTGCAACATTTTTATCTACTCCCCTAGAAGCCGGTCTATCAATAACACAACACACTGAGGATTTTATATTGTTAAGACTTTTCCTTTCTACTTTGAGACTTACAAAAAGGAGGGGACCACTGATTTATAACTCTAAAGTGTCTGTGGTTTTGAAACCGACTGCTTTAAAAACACGAGGCTCCTGATTTTCCACCATCTGCTGGAAGGTCCTGGAGTCAAGCCCTCGATTCTCCATATTTAATCTGATTGCACACGTAAGAGGCGCAGGGGGAAGGAGCACTCTCACGTGCTCTTGCCTTGAGGAGGGGCGGCTTGCTCCCTTCTGTTCTGATACTGCTTACATCCAGCCACACGCTCAGCTCACTCCCCAGCGGACAAACAGCGCTTCTCCATACCGAGCTGAGGATGCATGGTGTGACCCAGAGAAAGAACGCAACACTTACTGAGACACTTACTGAGAAAGTTATCCCACCCCTTCACTCCGGGGGCGTCAGGAGCTGGGCTGAGCAAGCACAGAAGCCATCTGCCCCCAGGGCCCCTTTCCCCAGAGAGGCGCCTCCCTCCACTCAAGTTCTGTTTTCTGGTGTCTGACACCCTAAGAAGTGGGAGCTTTGTTTTCCTTATTTTGCTTTTATTTCAAGAGAGACAGGGAGGCCTTTATAATGCATGCTAACCCTGCCTTGACATGTTTCTCCAACTTTCTGATGCAGATTCCCTGCTGGGTTTAGGGACATTTCCTTTATTAAAAACAAAACAAGGCTTTACAAATTATTAAATGCAGACACCCAAGTCCATATTTTTTCAATGCTTTCAGCATATTCCCTATGAAAAGGTGACTAATATTGAGAGTATCTCAGAGCACATCTCCCGGCCAGGCCAGCTGCTTTCCAAAGCTTTGCAGTGGAGTGGACTGATGCTCAAGTGGGTCTGCTTTGTGCGGGCTCTGGTTTAAATCAACCCAGAGCCTAATTAAGCCAAGTTGAAATGTAATGTGATCTAATTCTATAGCCCCTTGTTTCATTCTTCCTGGGGCAAGGCCCGGGATTTGGGGGGAGGGGATTACACTCTTCAACTCCGCTCAGGAACCTCTTTTGCTTCCCATTCTGAACTGTTGGCCTGCAGAGCTCTTTGTAATGTTATGCAGAGCATAGCTGCTCTCCCAAGGGCCCCCACCCCATCGTATCCGTGTGCAAGCACGTGCTCACGCGTGTGCGTACATCCCCCCAGTCACCTGTCTTGCATTAATAACCCAACTTTTCAAACATGCTAACAGTCACGGAATGAAGATAGAAGTGGATGTTCCAGAACATACAGACAGTGGCAGGCCACAGTGTCTGAATCCCAAGGCAACATGAGACCAGTGTATACATGGGCTGGAAGAAGCCTTGCTTTGCGTAAAATTTAAAAATATCACTAGGCTGAGACTTCATTTAAAAAAAAAAAAAAAAAGCGAAGCACCAGATCATGAGTTTTAAAGGGCATTATATATCAAGCAAAATCTTGGTTTCCTTGTTGATCCCCACTGAGGCTTCTCCAGAGGATTTCCAAAGACCAATCCATGTGAAATATCCTCAAGATATCCTCAACAGAAACAAAAGCCACCATGACAATAAACTTGGGCACAAATTTTAGGAAGACGGGGGCAAGCCAGTATTTCCAAGGAGGTAACATCACAGGAGGAGACGCTTCATAAACTATGGTGCACCGCGCACATGGAAGGGACCGCCATTACACTTGTCATTTGGTCTCCAGTGGGGCCGCACCAAGGATTTGGGCAGAGCCACTCCAGCTGCTGTTCTCGTGTTTCATGAAGGTCCACCCCTATGTTAATGATAGGGCCATAGGACAGGTTGGGAGTCCCACATTCATGCTTCAGGAGCCGTCCTGCCTCCCGCTGATGTGCTCTGTGCGATCCTCACCTTTGCTTTTTGTAACTAAGTGAAGACAGAGGAACACACACACACACACACACACACACACCCCGAAATGTGAACTACTTACAGCTTCTCGAAGACAGAGTTTCTTCAGTTCCTCTAGCCGCTGGCGGAGCGTTTCCTCCAGCGCTTCCTGCCTGGATTTCAAGGCGGCCAGCATGTCTTTCTTGGCCGACTGAGAGCTATCGGATTCCTGAGAACCTGTCAATAAACAGTGGGGTTACTCGAGCAGCGGACAGGGGACGGACACACATCCGGAGGTGGCATTGACCCAGGAGTCAGGGGAGGGGACACAAAGCAAGGTGCTGCAGAGTCCCAGGTGAGAGGAGCACATTCTTGGCACTTAGTGGAATTTATAGCTACTCAGAGGACTGGCAGGAAAACTGACATGCCTGAAAAAGAAGTTTCTCTTTCCTGATTATCTGAAGGTACGTGGCATACCTGTTTGACTTTCACTAGCGCATCTTAATAGGCTTTACGCAATGAAGGGGAAAGGTAAAATTCAGGCCAGTAATTTTAATATAAATATAAAAATACAAATAATTTTTTTCAAGAATGCTTATTTTTGGCTTAGTTCAAAGATGATGCATGTTTGTCATAAAAATTTTGAGAATGGAGACCTGTATAAAAATAGTCGATAAATAAGTCCCCCAGAGATAACCACTGCTATGTATTTTCTTTTGATCTTTTTATGTAAGCACATATATTTTAAAATAAAATTTGATTTTCATTATATATATAGATATATATATATATATCTATCTTTTTTAACTTAATACTGTATCATGAGCAAATTCCCTCCTGATGAAAGTTATACATATTTTACCACTCAGGGGGGAAATATCTGCATGATGATTCAAGCAGCAGACTGCTAGATATGAAATCTTGGTGGAAGGCAAACTGTGCACCAAACGCAAAAGGAAAATATGCTAGAATGCCAACTGGAGGAATTTAGGTTGGATCAAAAGAACGCTTTCCGGGCTGCAGCGTTTGGATCCTGAAGTGGGTTTCCAGCAGTGAAGCTGTTATACATGTTTACCCTGATGGGTTCTGACAAGGCCCACTGATGCCTTGGGAAAGGAGAAGCTGATTATTACTTTGCTTCTCATACCCACGGAAGTGGACGGGTGTTACTGGGTGTGCATTCAAGGGGTTCGGATGATGATGCCACTTACAACAGCATCAAAGAACACCAAATACCTAGGGATAAATCTAGAGAAAGATGTTTAAGATCTCTACAGTGAAAACTATAATACCCTGCTGAGAAACATTAAAAAACCCTAAAAAAAATAGGTATACCATGGTCATGGATAGGAAGCTTGATGCTGTAGAGGTGTCCATTCTCCAGGAATTAAGCAAGAGAATTGTTGCAATCCCAGGAAAAATTCCAGGGGGATTTTTTTGGGAGAGGCAGGTAGGAACTGTATTTCCATATGAAACCTTTTGGGACAAGTCAGTGATCAGATGACAGACTTGAGAACAATGCAGTCAGAATTGCCAGACTCAAATGTTCTGTCTCTTCCAATGGTGAAGAAAGCATCCTAGAATCCTCAGATAGGCTAGAAAGGTCTTCTATGCCTTTGCATCAAAAGGCTCTGCTATACTCAAATCATCCCCCTAAATACACTATTCTTCTCTCTTAGTCTTTGAGCAGTCTCTTACCACGCAACTAGGTTCCTAGAACCCTAATACTCAATAAGTCTCAATGGCTATGTACATTTTGACTCCAACTTGGGCTTCTTACTTTTTCTCCCCCAGACCATCTTAGCTGGAAATAGAGAATATCTATCACTGCAGGAATGTACCATTTTTATGCCTTCACAGTAGCTAATAAATATTACCTTGAATAAACACACACATAAATGTCATCAGTCATACTCTTGGATGCTATTTGATTAAGCTGTAGCTCATCTTGGTAAAGAAATCTAGTACCTGTGAGTACCTAACAAGTTATAGAACCTGCCTTCCAAACTTTTATTAATTTTTGTAGCCCTTCCCTGGATTTTGTCATGCTCAGTTGCAGGACTCCAACTTCAATAGCAAACCCAAACAAAAGCTTGAATCTTACTAAGGCTCCCATGACCTCATGGTTGTCAGACATGAAGCCCGCATGCAACACGTCAATGGACAGTACTGCAGGCCCTGCTCCTGATATGGCTCAGATTTCCCACCTCTGTAGGTCAATTACCCTCTGCCTATCAGTCCTCAACCATCTCTAGTTTACACCCATCCAAGGTCCCACAGCTCAATCACTGCGCATCTTAATCTGGTTCTCTGAGCCACAGTCACCAAGCAAAATGGCAGACAGAAAAACACTTAATGGGGTTGTCTCTGTTCCACCATCTAAAGCGTTAATAACAATGTGACCTAATGTGGAGAAGTCAGACTTTAGGTCTAAAAAACAGGCCTGGAGGAAACTGGACCCAAGAAGATTAAAGGATTTCTAGCTCAAGTGAAAAATTCATTGCTTTCCCTTTCACCCCTGCCTAACCTCTCAATAGGAAATGATGATCTATTAAGTCTAAGGATTCACTATGTTCAAGAATGGCAGAAATCACAAGAACATTCAACTCCGGGAAGCAAAGCACAACATTTTTGGATGATCTGGTCTCTAAGCTTTGGTGTTGAATTACAGGGCTCATTAGTTCTACTTTAAGTATTATTATTTATAATAATTAGTCTAAATACCAAACCCACATAAGACAGAGTGGATGGCTCAAGAGGCCCTTTCTGTATCTGAAACCACGAATACTGGCGGGCTCTGGTTCATACCTTTATTCTGGAAATTGCCTCATGAGGAATGTAGTGCTGGGTACCAAGTTAAATTTTTACCAAGTAACTGAGCTGGCCTGGCCTGGCCACGCAGATGTTTTTTTAGTGGTAACTGGATGGCGAGCAGAGGTCAAACAGACCTGGTTTTGATGCACTCTACACCACTCACTAGTTGTGCGACCTTGGGCACATGACCCGCCCTCCTTAACCTGGTCCTAAAGACTAAATGAGATAATGCACATACAACACTTATCACAGTGCCTGGAACAGATCAGTCCTCAGATCCAGGGTAGATTTAATAGGAGTGAAACACACACACAGCAGAATTAGAAAGAAAGAAACCATTGATGCTACCCCTCCTTGTTGCTGAAGAAAAGACCTCACTATGCAATTCTGCACACAAAGGCAGTATTTTCAAACTCTTTCTTGAATGCCTGAGTTTGCAGTTATGCTTTTGGAGCTGCTGTGCATGAGGATGAGAACAGGGTCACGGAGATTCAGCGATTCAGGGGCCCCCCTCCATGCTCCTCAAGCTAGGGCAGCTCTACCTTCACCTGTTTATGCATTTGAAACACTGCATTTGAAAAGAGGTTCCCAGTGCCTTTGTTTCTTAAAAGGAAATCCAGGGCACTGGGGGAAGGGTTCTCAGCCTGGGGGGCTGTTCCCTGCAACCAGGCAAACATGGCGACCACAAGAAGAGGTGACGGAGTGTGATGCCCAGGCAGCTTCCTATTGCCTCCACGGGTGCCCTCAAGCATCCCTGGACCATCATGGCGGACACATACAACGGAGGCCAGCAAGCACCCTGGAGTCAGGAGGCACTGATTCACTGCTACTCTCAGCTGACCAAGGGGGACTCCAGGAAGAAACCCAATCAGGGAAGGGCCTCAGGTCAACAGGAGTCTCACAAACTAAAAATGTGTGAATAAGAAATGATGCAGGATGGAGAAATCATTTCCCATCAGCACCTGGACTTGGTGAAAAGTATAGAAGTTCTGTGTTGCTCTGGTTTATCCATTTCTGGTTATTTGAACACATGTGGGCCTTGGCACACACAAGACCACCCTGAGGTTGTAAGTTTCACCTCTTGGAAATCAAAAAAGATGTCAATCTGCTACCTTTGAGAAGAGCAGTGATGGACAGGGAAGGGACCTGGGGTTCCATCATATATCTGCTATTGACTGCCATAAGCCCTTCCTTCGGTCATTGAACTCTTGGAGCCATGATGTCCCCGTCCAGAAAATGACCAATTAACCAACCTCCAAGATGCTCCCGAACTTGGAGACTGTATTGCTTAATAAGCAGCTTAGGTAGGTAGCTCCCTCTTGGCTCCAGCAATCCTTGCTGCGAATGTTACAATTGTTACATAACAGTGTCAATTTCCCTCTTCTTTACCATTCTTGCTTCCAGAAAAGACAAGCACCCTGCCAACTCTGGTCCTACCCCCAGTTACTGGGAGAGTTTGCCTGGAATTGGAACGGAATGTCTAATTATCAAGCAGGGCTGAAAGGATTTACCCCTCCATCCCATCAACAGGCCAAAGCACATGGGTCTAAGTCTGGATGCTAAAAAAGAGGTCAATCTGAGCTGTCTTTGGGATTAATGAAGCAGGAAGACGGATGGAACCTCTCCGCTGCAGACAGAGGAGCAAAACTGCAAAAACAGTAGCCAAGCGCTACTTGGAAAGGGCTGTCCACACGTGACAGATTCGTGCAGGAGCCAAAGAGAAAAGAGAGGTGATGTGAGCATTTTTGAAAGATATAATTGTTGTTCTAAGTTTTAAAGCAGCACCCCATTCACAGAAGGGGTGAAGTGAATATTCTTTGGAAAACACACAGGCCCAGAACCTCCTGAGGCAGAAGTCTCCAAGCCAGTGAGTGGTTTGGAGTCCGCAGGTCTGGGCTTGTGTCCCAGCTCCACGATGCGCCAGCTGCAGGGACTTGGCAACAGGGCACCACCTTCCTCAGCCTTGGATTCCTCCCCCTACAGTACAAGAATGAACCCAGGATTTCTTCAGAAGTTGGGGAGATGATGCCACAGAGATGCCCGAAGAGAATCAGAGCCTAGTAAGTACTACGTGGGCATCAGGAGTTTTTGTATTAAATGGTGTGTGCCTGGCCTTTAGTGGCAGTTGGCACCCCAATTCCAGGGAGCCCCGTAATGTAAAAAGACGTGTTAGTGGGCAGGAAAGATGCGGGCAGGCTGGTGGAAGGCACTGACCACCAAGGCCTTGTGCCCTCAGGACGCTCGGGAGGAAACGGAGAGGGAGGGGGTTTTCCCAGACTCCTGACAGGAGCTGCCACATCACAGTTCACGTCATCTTCACGAAAACATTGCCCTGTTTTCACAGAAGACATCCCTGGGACACAGGGAGGCAGAGCTGGGATTCCAGCTGGGCGGCTCTGTCTGGTCTGTTTTGCACCCAGAAT